AAAAAAAAAAAAAACTCATCTTTTATCAAATGCCCAATAAAATATGTCCTCTTTTTCAGGTTTGAGAGTTTTAATGTTGAGAATTGCATTCATGTCATTCTCATCAAAGAGTTGGGAAACTAACCAAATGTTCCAGCCAGTACCTGTCTCATTGATGAGTTCCTTAACCCAAATAATATGCCCCATGGCAATGTCAAGAATAGGTGTGGGACCCAGTTGACATCAGCCAATCGAGTGGATGCCCCATTTCTAACTCAACAGCAAATCCCTTAGCAAAAACAGGGAGGATTTCCAACCAACTGAACCAAATCCAGGAACAGTTATGAGTTTTAGTAGCCTCAAAGATAGAACAGTTGGGGTAGTACCACTCTTTTAGGATTCTGCTGACCTGTAATCCTCCAAAGTTGTTTGCAAATAAGAACAACATTGAAGTTTTTGATGTCTTAGAATCCAAGACCCCCTTGGATTTAGGTAATGAGAGAGTGTTCCAAGACTTCCAATGAAATCCCTGTGACTGATCTTCACATGTACTCCACCAAAAGTGGGAGCGAAGTCTAGAAATTTCAGAACAAGTGGTAAAGGGAGCCTGAAGCAAGACATAGTAAAAGTTGGAAGAGCTTGGAGAACCGCTTTGATTATAACTTCTTTGCCAGCTGGAGAAAGAAGCTTGGATTTCCATCTTTGTAGTCTAGTTCTCATAGAGTCAATAACTTATTGAAATTCTTCAGTCTTAGACCTACCAATCCCAAGAGGAAGTCCCAAATACCTTGTAGATTTATGAGCAGAAATACCCTGAAGAGTGTTGCAGATTCTTGACTAAAGAGTGGAAGGTGGGCTTTTGCTGAAAAATATGGCCGACTTCTGGAGATTGGCTGTTTGCCCTGTGAATAATTTATACTTCTCCAGAAGATTCAAGAGATAAGCAGTCTGTGCCACATTAGCTTTATAAAAAAAATAAAGAATCGTCTACAAACAACAGATGGGACAAAGGAGGGCCATTTTTTGAGATTTTCATGCCAATCAGATTTCCAGAGTTGATAGATGCAGAAACCAAAACAGATAAAAGCTCAGGAACAATAATGAATAGGTAAGGGGACAGAAGGCCCCTTGTCTAATTCCTCTGGAGGGATGCACAAAACCACACACAGACCCATTAAATTTGAAGGAGTAAGAGCAGGAGGTAATGCATATCATAACAAGGTTAACAAATTCCTGACAGAAGCCCATCCGAGACATAATCTTCTTAATACTAAGCCATTCCACACGATCAAATGCTTTAACAAGATCAAGTTTCAGTGCCATGAAGTGGTTTTTACCTGGAGTGTGTCTGTTCAGAAAGTGGAAGGCTTCATGTGCTATTATGACATTATCCATCACTTGCCTACCATTGATGAAGGCAGATTGGAAATCACTGATGCAGGAGGTCAGGCAAGCTTTGAGTCATTAGTTGCATGGTTTAAATTCGGTATATTATATCTTGAAAGATATTTAAAATTAAAAATAAAAATAAAAACTATTCATAATTTACGGGTCAATATTAACTTGGACGTAATCGAAAAAGTCAATTATTTATAGTTTAATAAATTACTCAATAACTCACGGGTCAATATTAACTTGGACGTAAATGAAATAGTCAATTATTTTAATTTAATAAATTATTCAACTAAGGTTGAGCATGGGACACAAAGAATTCCGAACCATTCTGAAAATTGAACCGAATTCACTCCGAACCGAAAACTAACCATTGACCGTTTGACTTTCTCCGAACCGAACCGAACCGAAAAATAGTTTCTACGGTTCTGGAGATTTCACAAATATCCGTACCGAAAAACCAAAATTAAGAACCAAATTATAACAGTAGATGTGTTATTAATATATTTTATGTCAATCCTATATAATATAGCAATAACTATTAACCTTCACTTAAATTTCATGCTTAGTAATACTTGATCTACAATTGATTTTTTTATTATAAAATATTATGAAAGGTTAAAGAATATTTTTTAAGATAAAAATATTATATTTTGTTTGAATTTTAAATTTTCAATATTAGTTGCACAAATTTAGTCTTAACTAAAATTTAGAGTTACTTTTAAAGTTGATTTCAAAATAAAATATTTAATATGAGGAAGTATTGATGAATGTTGTTTTTTTAAAATATATAAAAATAAAAATGTAACTAAGTAGTCATTAAAAAAAATAAAAAATAAGACATCTCCGAATATCCGAATCAAACCACACCGAACCGAGTCGAACCGTCCCATTTGTCCGGAATACCGAAACGAACCGGAAAATAAAAATCTCTGAACCGAACCGACTTTTTGGTACTGTTCCGGAGATCGAATTTTGTGATCTCCGAATTTTGATACGGTTTCGAAGATTTATCAATCACCAAATCGTACCGACCCGCGCTCACCCTTATACTCAACTACTTATTTTTTTTATTTGAATAGTTTATACGAAAATAAATTATTTTAAGTAATGAAACAATAAAGATTATATATTTATACTTATCATTCACATATGTTGTTAAATATATGATAATATTTTATCAATGTAGTTATTTTTTTGAATCATATTATAGTCAAATGGAATTTATGAATAAATTTTTGAAATGATACTTATTTTGAAACGAATATAATGTAATTTATTATCAATTATGTGCACCACACGGGTAGTGTACTAATTTTAAATACTTATTTTTATGTATTTTGTACAATTTAAACTATATATAACAATTTTAAAGGAGAATTTGCCGAGAGCATAATTGAGATCCTCTAACATTTTTTAGACTTCCGAAAGGGCGAAAAGAACCTCTAGGATGCTGTGGGATAAAGAAATAGAGCCATAGGAGAAGGGCTCGGGTGGGAGTATTTTTAGGGTAGCCGAGAGGAAGGATATTGTTAGAGATGTTAAACGGGCTAGCCCTAGCAGTTTCGGGCTAGCCCTAGCGGGCTTCGGGTTAAACGGTTCGGGCCTAAAAAGCCGGGCTACCAATAAAAAGACCTAACCCTAACCCTTGCGGGCTTCAGGCTAAACGGGCTATGCGGGCTACAATAATAATATTAATAATAATAATAATAATGTCTCAAAAATAAAAATAAAAATAAAAATAAAAAAGTTATAAAAAATACAACGACTAATTAATGATTGTTTTCAACGGCTATTTAGTATTTACCGCTCTATATACACAACTACACATCACATATGAACACACACTACAAACTCTTAAATAACATATTTTTTTCAAAAGAGAAAAATATTCGGATTATTACTTACAATTACCATTTTACTACTTATTTTGGCTTTGGAAATTTTTACGATATTATATCATTACAAATTTAATCATTATGTTTCATGTGTTAGGACTTTGTCTCATGTGTTTCCTATTAGTCGTTCTAATTTTACTTATATATTTTGTGTGGAGTACAATAAGAATATTGCTAATAATTATCTTTCAAAATCATTATAATCCGTTACAACTCATACTGTGGAAGAGCAAAATTGTAATATACAATGAATCTAAGAGCATATTACTTACTTGCTGCAAACATTTAAAACGCCAAACTCAACTTAAACGGGCCAGCCCTAGCGGGTTTCGGGCTAGCCCTAACGGGCTTCAGTTTAAACGGTCCGGGCCTAAAAAGCCCTGATTTAAACGGGCTACCAATAAAAAGCCCTAACCCTGTTTTTACCGGGCTAAATGGGCCGGCCCGTCGGGCCAAGGACCGTTTAACATCTCTAGATATTGTCGGTCCAAGGCCGACGGTTTGGGTTGTAGAGGATACATAGGCTGATTGGGAGGGTTGGGCAGGGTTCGAGCCGGTCTGGAGGAATTGGGCTGGGTTGGGCTTGAGCCGGACTAGAGGGTTTGGGTTGGATTCGGGCTGGGCATGGTGGAGGCTATGGTGAGGAAGAGGAGTTGTAGTTAGAACGGGCTGGGCAGAGTGGGTTTCTAATGGATTGGGGTGGGGTAAAGTGTGGACAGGCTTTAGTTTGGTTTGGAATAGCTTGGATGGACCAGTGGGGTGAAATTGGGTCAACTGAATTGGACCAAAAAAAAAGGGGCACATGGGCTTGGATAAAGAAGGCCCAGAGAGAGGAAAAATAGGACTTATCAGCCTACGAAGAGGAGCCCAAGGATAAAGATTAGGCGCGAACAGGATTAGGTCTCGCTAAGGATTGTGCGTCGCACCTTCTGACCGAAGGAAGAGAAATTGGTGACGTTGACTGACGAAAATCCGGCGACTTCCGGCTGGGTTTGTTCAGCTTCTGAAGAACTGGGCTTTCACAAAGCCTTTTATTTCAATATTTATTCATTACACCAGATAAATAGGGCTTTCTAACAGCGCCAAACTTACTAAGAAGCCCAATAGAAATTTAAGATACCACGAACACACTCATCTGGAGTTCGGGCCCAGTCAAAGCCCGAGTGCAAACGGAAAGCCTGTATCCGGCAGCCACTCCTCGCCGTCAATAAATTTCGCTGCCGTGAACGGCTCTGCCTCCTCATCCCCCGCCAGCACCCTAAAACACCGCCACGTAACCCTATGAGACGTGTCGGCACCGTCGCCCGTATTTTCATACTCGGCGTAAAAGCAAGTGTGGTGATTGTAATCGCTGTTGCTCCACCTACGCCACCCCTCGGGCCGCACGACGTCCGATATCTCAGTCTGCATGACCACCGTCCTTGCGTACGGGCGCCACGGCCGGCCCAAGTACGTCGGGAAGTGGGCCTGCTCGGGCAGCAGGTCTTCGTCGGCCCGGATCCGACACCCTTGGATGACGATCCCGGTGTTCTGGCCCGGATCTGCCCGCCCGTCGGCAGTGACCATGTTGCTCTGATGCGGGTCGGGTCGGCGGACCAAGATGTCGCAGTCTTGCAGGACTGCGGCACCAAAGCCGAAGATGAAGTCGATGGTACCGGAGACCGTGCACGCGGAGTAGAACTGGCGGAAGGTGTGGGTGTAGAGGGTGTCTTGGTAGGCCGACATGGTGCACCGATGGAAGGCGGCGAGGTCGGCACTCACGCGGAGGGCCACGGCCTGGTCGTTTGACGGGCCCGCCGTGTTCTCGAATGTGATGTCTCGGGCTAGAAAACCAGGGCCATTCACGGCTGCATTGCGAAGGAAATTGATCTATTAGAAATGCATATAAACCATCTCGGTCGGTCGATATTGTTGTTAATTAATTTAAGTGTATAAGTATAACATATTGGCTCAATCTGTACTGTACGTGTTTTTCAACTTTGCAATTTAGAGCGTTTTTCTTGGTAAAATTGAACATTCATAAACATTCATAATTTGTAATCTCGCATACATCTTGGTCATACGATCGACCGCAAAAATTGACGCGTGTATATGGTCAAGACTATGCACAAGACATGAGGTTGCGAATTATGAGGTTCAATTTTCAACTTTTACTAAGAAAAATATTATATATTACAAAACCCAAAAACTACTGCAGGTTGCAGAAGTTTACCAACTGTGGCCGTGCGGAAAGTGGGGTAGCCAGTCCCGAAACTCCGGTTGCCCGTAATAACCGTCTCCCCCTCCCCGTCCCCGACGAACATCATGTTCCACCTATTGCTCGGGATCGTCACGTTCTCCTGATACACTCCCCTCTTTATCCGAACAACGTACCTCTCATTGCTGTTACGTGGGGCCCGCTCCACTGCCTCCTGAATAGTCACATAGTCCCCGCTCCCATCGGCCGCAACCGTCACGTTAGGCGTCACCTCCGACGCCTCCAGCATCCGTCTGTCACCCTCCGACAGCCAGTCGGGCCATCCGTCCCGACCCGGCCCCCAGCCCGAGACTACATGGTCCGGAAGGCTTCTCACCATGGCTAGCAGATTGCTGACGAGGCGGAAGACGTGCATGTGGTCGTGCACTAGGGCCCCATGCGGCGGGAGCCCGTCAACGCACGACAGCTGGTTCGCCATCGCCGCGCTCAGGTACGTCAGCACGTCGTCGACTCTCGATTCTGCGCGGTTCTCGAGGTGGTCGGCCACGGCCCGGAGCTCGTCCAGCGCGTAACCCGCCATCTCAAGGCAGTCGTCGAGGGCCCGGGACGTGAGGCCAGCATGCTTGCCGCTGACGAGGCGGGCGGATTTTTGGATGTTGACGCGGTTGTGCTCGACGGCGCGGATCGTGCGGTCGAGAGCGGCCGCCAGCACGTCCCGGCTGCTCTCGACGGCGGCCGTGGGGAGGTTGAGCTCGACGGTGGAAATGCAGAGTTCGGGGTACAGTGTGGCGGCACAGGTGGACCGGATAATTTGTCCCGCGGCTGAGCCGCCGTGGTTGGCGGCGGCCATGGGCGGTGTCGCCAGGAAGGCAAGGAGGAAGAGTTTGCAGACAATGCTGTGCATTGCTCTTGTGGGTGTGGAAATGATGAATGTCGGCATAGAAATATAAGGAGCTTTATATAGACTTTATTTTTATTTTTGCTGCCCGAAAAGTGAAAACGAAATGTGTTGCGCTAACTTTATATTGTCTGGTCCAAAATTAAAAAAGATAGGTTTGGGGTAGATTTATAGAGTAAATATCTAGTGTGTGTGTGTGTGTGTGTGAGAAAAATAAGTACACGTTTTCATTGCTGGAATCTTTATTGTACGATGATCAGCAATAATAAATGATGATAAAGAAAAGTGCAATGGTGGTCCGATTCTATTCTATTCTCTATTCAAAGTATCTTGTTTTGTGCTAAACAAAATGGAGGCCCATTGGCCCAAAGACAAAATTTCCAAATTATCAGAACATGGAAAATTTGGTGCACAATATTGACAATGTTTCAAAAATTATATATTATTTTATTATATCAACAAAATAATTACAATACATTAACTGCAAAAAAATTATTTATATGTCAAAACACATTAGTTATTTGTCTAAATAAAGACACATTGATAATCACAATATAAATATTCTTTAAACATCTCCTCGCTACCTGACGTACGGCTCACTCACTTGTAAGTTGTAACGTAATGAAGATTGTGTATCAACTATGTAAAAATGTGTAAACTCGCACTAACGGTTGTCGGTCAACACGATTATTTTGTGCTCGGAAACAAACTTTTTCTATTTCTTATTGCGTAATATTCAATTAGAAATTACCAGAGACTGTTTGTAGTATTTTTGGGCATGTGGTAATCGAGCTACCCGGTCGGGTCGTTATCAAAGGAAGACTGTTCGGAGCTTCGTTCACTATCTAGTCTCAAAGTCACATAACAAAAATAAGGTCATAAACATTCTACTCGCTGAAGGGATTAGATTGCTCGAAATTATGCTAAGAAAATGAAAGCAAATGATGCAAAATGCAAATAGAGAGAGAAAGATCAAAACTTTAGTCTTCTCCATGACTCAAGAAAAAGAAAAATAAACAAGACAAAACATGCTTGCAAAGTGATCGTAGATATTCTAACACGAGCTATCTACACTAAATCATCACGCTTTGAACAAAGTCGAGACCTTTCTAGATAAGAACGTACCGAATCCTAACACACAAAAGCAAGCAATGAAAGTAAAGCAAGAACCTAGAAACGAGCATAAACACACAATTGGACAAAAAAATCGAAGTAGAAGGGTCTAAGCAAGGTACTTACTCTCCTATCGCATGCTTGAACGAAAATAGTGAATAAAGCTTGAAACATGGATAAAAAATAAAGTTACCGGAATTTTGCCGGAAAAGTAGGGTCATGGATCTCCAACCGAAGCATAAAAAGATAGAAAGAGAGAGAGAGAGAGAGAGAGAGAGAGAGAGAGAGAGAGAGAGAACGAAAATAGAGAGGATTTACCAACTTAAAAGGTGGGAAAATGAGGAGAGATGTTAATAATACAAAGACAATGTATATTTATAGATACACCACAAACATACACTAAAACACGTACATTAATAATTTAGCACTCGCTAGGTAGCTTCACTAGGCAGACTGGTCTTGTGAGTCTTGTGCACACTCGCTAGGTGGCGAACACGTTCGCTAGGCGGACTGGACTCTTGGATCTCGTGCACGGTAATGACTCAACAACGGCTCAGGGTTTCTTGGAAAGACTCGTGCTCTCAGAAAATGGCTCGATTCTTCTCTTTCATCCTTCAAAATGGACCTAAAAATTGCACCAAAGACAAGAGAAAATATGCCAAAATACAAACACCAAAGAGAAAATAAAAACACACAGAATCAACTAAAATAGACCGGTTAGACAAGAAAACAAACTTAAAACCGACTCAACTACACACATAAAATACATAAAAAGAAGCAGAAAAACACAATAAGCAAAGACGAAATACAACATCTTTTATCAACACCCTAAACTACCAGCATGTTTTGAAATTTGAAAATGAAAAAGGAAACAACTACATGAAACTGATCATAACCAGCGGCCAAATTGTCCAGGTGCATCCCAAGTGTCGCGAAGCGGAGGCCATCGCAGCACGATGAGAAGTGTTTGGTAAAGATTTGGTGGGCAAAGGATAACCGAACCCGATTCGGGTCGATCTCGAGGGAAGGCGATTCGGAGCTTTATCTACTAGTTGATCGTCCCAAAACACACAAAAAGATAAAATGAAGTCCTAAACATTCTAATCAATTTGGGTTGGAGGTTTGATTATCACTAAACGAGAACTAGAAAACGAGCAATTAACTAAGAGCAAGATCAAATCATGAGCAAGTAGCAAACTAGATCATCGGAGTCTCATGTCATAACCATAACGAGATGATAATCAATCGACATAAGGAATAAACGAGCTATAAGCATTAGATTGATAACCCTAATCATCTAACCCTAAGTGATTAAGCCCTAATCGGGTCTTAATCCTTAAACGAGATCAACAAGCAATTAACTCCTCTATCTACTCAAGCAAGCAATCAAGTCTCGACTTTGCAACCATCATCAATTAAATCCAAATTTACCCTAATAAACATTATAAGTAAAAACGGAGCAAATACCGAAGTAAAGAGCTTTAAAACTAAATACTCATCCTTCCATTGCGTAGACGATGAAAAACGGAGTCAAAAGCTCGAAACTTGAAAGAAACCAAAGTCGCCGAAAAATCTCCCGGAAAATAGCATAAGCTCCTAATCTAGAGAGTAAAACATATCATAAGCTAAGTTCCCAAAAAGGAAAAATGAAATAATGAGTAGTGGATGTTCAAAACGCAAAGGAACAAAAATATATATAGTCTAGCCAAAACATACACTAGAAAAATACACAATTAAAAAGACACTCCCGAGCTCTCCACAGGATTCACGAGCTCGCGGTCGATGGCTTTGCACAGGCGCACGGGTGTGGAGCACTCTCGAGGTCGCGGCTGTTGGCGCGGGGTTGCGGGCGTCTGGACATCGGCACTCTCAAGCGCGCGGCATCATCCGCGAGGTCGCGAGTTGGCGGGCGGCACGGCCGTTGATGGTGCGTGCACTCTCGAGCACGCAGCGTCATCCGCGAGGGCGCGGGCGTCTAGACATCAGCACTCTCGAGCTCACCTGGTCTCTCGCGAGCTCGCGGCTTGGGGCACGCGTGTGTTGGCAGGAGCGTGCGCGGTTGTGCGGGCGTGCGGGTGTGCTCTCGACCTTGTCGGGCCTTCCGCGAGCGCGCGAGTAGTGCAGTGGGTAATGGCGCATCCGCGAGCTTCGTCTAAGGCTAATGGCTCGACACATCTCGGAATTGACTCGAAATTCTTCAGAAAGCTCTTCTCTTGGAATTCGATTTGACTCTTCTCTACATTCTCGGAATAAACCTGAAAATTAAACCCAAAAACACGAAAAAGTACGCCAAAATATAAAATGAAATAAAAGACACAAAAACACACAGAAAACGATAAAATGGACCGGATGACACTAAAACGAACCTAAAAACCGACTTGATAAAACACATAAACACATAAAAAAAAGCACAAAATCATAACAAACAACTCCCCCCCCCC